CTCTTTTACGACCTCTGACCTGTTGCCCACCCAATCACTGATCCTCACTCCCTCCAGGAGGGATCCAGGTTCCCTCCTCTTCTGTTGTGACACACAATGTCATTAAGCACAAAAGCTGATCTCATAACGTTAATTTAATCTTGTGTTGGATGGCTTGTGTGCACCCACAGCTGTTGTGGGCAGGCGATTAGGATTGGTGCCCACGGACAGTGGCGTTAGCAGCAGCTAGTATGCTAAAGCTCCGTCCCTGGCATGGAAAAGTGTAACACATGTAAAGCAGATGGCCGGTGCACTATGTCTTCTGCTGGCACTAATCAGGTGCTAAATATCGCTCCGTCTGCTCACTCGGCCTTATCCTGGAACCCATGACACTCACGCTTTTTTTGTTGGCCTGTGCTGGTATGCTGTGAAGTATTGAAGTTCTGCATCCATTTTTTGGGCCAAACAGCTGAGTCGTGAATGATTTATCACTCTGCAGCCACACAACATGACGTCAAAACATAGACTTGGTGATAGCACAATTAAAAGCCACACAGTCTCAAGCCTTTTACTAGTGCCTATCCTGAGGTGTGAGGTAGAGGTCTTCACGGGTCCACTTAGATCCGAAAAACCCAAGGTATGACCCGATACCCAAGTAGGCTTGGGTCCAAAAACTTTGACGGGTGCCTCGGACATGGGTTGGGTATTAGTTGCTCAATGTCTTTTGGGGTTTTGGTTCTTTTGCTGTTTTAGGTTGCCCGTACTATAACAAAAATATTATAGAGCGAGCATAGGCACGTGCCTAGAATACCTATGCAGAAATCCGGTCTTGCTCCAATGGGAGATTTTGTCAAATTTAGCTAACTTTTAGGGACAAATTTGTCTCAAAACTTTTGCCAAGTAAGCCCAAATGCACACACACACACACACATGGATGGTTAGCGCACACAAAAGGTGTCTCTGCCAAGCTCCAGCTGAGCGGTCTGACAGAAAGCCGATTCCTAGTGTGATGGCGAGACAATGCGGCCTCCCTCATTTGCCACTTCACCAGTGTTTAATCAGTGGTCTTCTAGACAGAAAGAGTGATTGATAGAAAGGAAGAGAAGAGAGATAAAGAGAGGGAGAGAGAGTCAATGATTTCCCCACTGCCTTTTTGAATAGAGTCTCTAGTGTCTCCTCTGACCTGACGGTTATGAGGACCATGGGAAGATGTGATTGGCTCATTACCTCTGCTCGCTCCTGATAGCCGAGGATGGTGCGCCGAAGCCCCTTGCGTCTTCTGAATTTGCACCATTTCTCTCACTTCTTCTCTGTCTCCTGACAACATGGCAGTCTGCCAGGCCTCTGGTTCTGACCTGACATTTGCTGTTCCCTTTCATGGGAACTTTGAACTGCGTCCTCTAGGGGTCGTATGGGGAAACCTAGAGGACGCAGTGTCTCGTTCCCTACTCAGGGAACCATGGTTACATAAGTAACCTGAGACGTTCCCTTTCATGGGAACTTCGAACTGCATCCTCTAGGTTTCCCCATAGCGACCCCTAGAGGACGCAGTGTCTCGTTCCCTACTCAGGGAACCATGGTTACATAAGTAACCTGAGACGTTTTCTTTGGTTCAGAGGAGGGATTTCAGAAGTACTTCGGTACCAAGTCAATGCTAAAAATTTGCCACGAATATTATGATAACAGTCATGAAATACTTGAAAGCTACATTCTGTTGTTTTTTATATATTACGGTATGATATGTATAATGTTAGAATACATATTACTGGTCAAAAGTTAAGTAAAGGTTAATTACGATTTTAAATATTTTCAAAGCTGAATTTTCAGCATCATTACTCCAGTCTTCAGTGTAACATGATCCTTCAGAAATTATTCTAATATGCTGGCACTCAATTATTAATAATGCTTCTTATTATACAAAAACATAATGCGAAAAAAAAATGTTTTGCTGATTATTTAATTAATTAATTGTATTTATTTTTTTGTGGAAGCTGTGAAGTTTTTTTAAGCATTCTTTGAGTATAAAATTCAAAAGAACAGTATTTTATTTGAAATATAATTTTTTGTAACACTATAAATAATTTAATGCATCCTTGCGAAATAACTTTTTATGTTTTTATAATACAGCATATGAAGGATCATGTGACACTGAAGACTGGAGTAATGATGCTGGAAATTCAGCTTTGCATCACGGGAATTAATGACATTTTAAAATGTTAATAATAAACAGAAAAAAAACTAGAAAACAGCACTTTTAATATTTCACAAAATTACAGTTTTTACTGGATTTTTTTCATCAAATAAATGTAGCCTTGGTGAGACTTATTTCAAAAACAAAAAGAAATCATAAGTATCCCAAAACTTTTGACCAGTAGTTATATTTATTAATATTTAACTTTGTGGGAGTGTGTTGAATAACATACAGTATTAGTTTTTGCTGTGGTCTTGAAGTTGGTACCAAATGGTGATATTTCGACTCTTGAAATCTTGGTCTCATGACAGCCGTAGTTCAGAGAGAATAATGATTCGTCCTTCCTCAACATGACAGCAGTAATGGATTGGTTTTAAGAGCTCCAGCTAGTTGCTCATATTGTTTGGCTTCACAGACAGGCGAGTCAAAGTGCTTGAGGGTGACATGACGAAACATCCACCGGTGACAACTGACTGAGCATGATTCCACCAATCGTGTCTGGGGTGATGTGTGCTGCTTGTCTTTTGTTCCTGTTGTTGATCTTTTACTATCAGAACCCTTCAAAAAGTGTGTGTATACTGTATAATTTGTTTGTAAAGTCTCTTAGTTTAATCTCTTTCATTTCTAACTCAGCTTTATAAGGCAAACGCACAAAATGACACCAAAACTTCAGAGCCTGAGCCATATATGTAACCCACCCAGAGATGTCATATTTGGGGTATTTAAAAGACCCAAGAGGTGTCATCAACTTCCAGTCATTAAATTTAAACTTTTTGTTTTTAAAAACTATATGAAACAAGCATAAATACAAAGAGTACATTTTTCCTTTTCTATTTTTCAGGGCCACTCTGATTTGTCATTGACCCTTTGCTGTAAGCATACCATTTAAAGTAGCTGTGTATTCTGTCCGAATGTAGTACTTTACTGAGCTGTACACTGTACTCTCGTTCTCATTTGTGAGATGAGATGAACAGACTTCACATTTAATTTCCTGTAGGCCTCCTTTGATTCTTGGTGTCACGTCAACCGTGTAACCTTCAATGGCTCTGTAGTGATGGCAAAGCTCTGAGCTTGTTAGATACCGCTGAACTTAGAGAGACCTCTGCATCATTGCTCTGAGAATGAGAGTCTGTCTCAGCACTTTTGTGACTGGTTGATGACAGTGATAGCACCTCCCATCACTTATTCATGCCCTGTACTCCTCAACCATCATTCAGGAAGTGACACACAGGAAGTGTACAATGCAGTTGCCGTATCTTCCCTGCTATGTGCTGACGTTCAGCACTTTGGTTGTGCTATATGTGACCTATAAATCCTCCACACCTCTCTGTAAATTACCCTCAGTCAAAATGACCCACCCTGATGTTTCTATAATATACTGGTGCCTAGCTTGGTCTGGGGCCGCTAGATGCATCTTTAAACTACCCCTGGACCCCCCAAGAGTCTATAATATTATGAAGACTAGCAAGGTTTAGCCTCTGGGGCCTTTGCACACTGTCAAAAGAGCCCACCCCCATGTCTCTGCGATCATTAGGTGCCAAGATATGACTGGGGCCCCATACAGGATCTCTGTACTCTACCCTCATTCAAAAAGACCCACTCCTATGTTTCTATAATATTCTGGTGACTAGCTAGGTCTGGGGGCCCCAGGTGCCTCTGTATACTACCCCTAGTCAAAAGAGCTTACTCTCATATTTCTGTAAAAAAGCAGATGCCTAGATATGACTGGGGCCCCATGCAGAATCTCTGTACACTACCCTTAGTCAAAATGACCCACTCCCATGATTCTATACTTTTCTGGTGTCTTGGGATGAGACTCTCTGTACACTACACTGTGTCAAATGAACCCACACCCATGTTTCTACAATAATCATGGCTGGGGCTTCCGGGGGCCTCTAGGGACCCCATATAACGAGAGACAGACTCAGACATGCTGTAGAGACACACATGGACATATACAGGAAAATACTAATGTAAACTGTTGATGATTTAACTTTTTCGGGGGGGGGGGGGGTTGATGAATATTTTATTGTTAGAAGTGAAACTTTTAAATTTTTAGCAGGGTATGCTTAATATACTCAATGTACTTGCATTCAAAATGTTTTGTTTACTGAAGGGCCTTTGTTATTGGAGTTGAAGATCTTATACTGGAACTAGGTCAAAATGCAAAATAGTTCAATCAGAATTTGCCTTTGTTATTATCCTGCCTGAAGTAGTCAGAATTGGAAAAATGATTACATATCCCATTCTGAATCACTACATACCCAGGACGTTTCATGTGGCCTATGCGAGTACACACCCGTTTCACTTTTTTGTTCACTCTGTGTATACACACATAAAACCTCTGCTCCTTTTTTGTCTGCCCATTAAAATTATTGACCATTAGGCAATGCTGAGAAAGGTGGGGTGTAATTATGAGTCCAGGCAGCTTTGTCAATTCCCCACAGCCTGTGTTGAGCCCAGCAGAGATCCTAATAGGAAACTGCAGTGTTAAAAACACACACTCACAAGGATATAGAGGGAAACGAGGCTGTGAACACAATTTGGTTTATCGGCAACTAAACCAGAAACTCAGATTCCACTGCCACTAAGAGCAGAAGGATAATCGCTATAAGTATGCAAACAGTGATGCATTGCAACTGTGTAATCCCATTGTACTTAGTGTTTTGTTTGATTAGCACAGAATATATTTCGGGCCTTAGAATCGCTCCATCTTTTTATTTCATCTCTATCTTTAACATTGTAAGAAAAAACCATGTATGTATGAATCATGTATGTTAATATTATGTGCTGTATTTACAGAAACTTTCTTTTCCTTTTGACCTTTCAGAGAAAATGAACATGTTGTCTGCACTGATCGCCCCCTTCAAGTACATGACCCCAGCAGCCAATTGCACAGAAGACGAGGACACATTGAGTCAGTATGCATAATCACTATCACAACGAACCCTTTCAAAAATGTAAAAAAAAATTTAAAAGAATGTAAATTTCAAAAATGTAATTAGATTTGAACATATAATTATATATAACAATATATAGAATAACTAGATATACTGTATATATATATGCATATATATATATATATATGTATATATATATATATGTATATATATACACTGTATATACAGTATATATATAATTTAAAGTGATGCTAGAAGAGTTGAAGACAAGCAGCACTACAAAAACAACATTTTGGTCCTTTCTTAAAATTTAGGCTTGCATCCATGTGTTGAAGTTTATTTTCACAGATGAATTTCATTTGGTTCCATCACAACACAGTTGGGGTGTGAAATAGAGGCTTTAATGTGTGATCAGACTTTCACACACTGAAATCTCATAACCGTCTGCTCTCCTGCATTACAAAAGAGCGTCTCCTTTGCATTGTATATGGGGGAGACGATTTGTACCCACTTTAAGTATATACTCCAAGCCAATTTTGTGGGAGATTACGGAGCGATTTGCCAGATAATGCCCCATTTTAGAGTATTTGTCTTCAGATTTTTTTTACAACAGTTAAGTAGAGGAGGCTTTTCTCATATGGAACTGTTAGGAGCAGCTGCTTTGGACAAAGGCAATGGCAGTTTTTAATATCAACATGTATATGAACTACCAGACTTTTATCAGGTCAAGTGCGATTATGGGCAGAATGGCGTAGAAGATAGATAGCACTCATTGAGTTTTGTTTTTTTGCTAAATTATTTCCTTGATCATATTAATATGTCGTTTCTGCTTCCAACCTAGGCACCAGCAGTGCTGAGGTCAAGGAGAACCGTAACACGGGAAATTTGGAAGATTGTGCCATTGTTCCGTCAGACTGCCAAACACTCTTCCTGTCTGATTCACCCAGGGACGGGGCGTCTGGCCTCAAGCGAAAGCGGCCTTTAGAGGAGGACAATAATGGACACTTGTGCAAATTGCGTCTGTACTGCAAAAAACTGGCATGGTCCGATGCACCAAAGAATGCTCTGGTCCAGTTGAACGAGCTGAGACCGGGTCTACATTACCGGATGGTCTCTCAGACAGGACCGGTGCATGCACCTCTCTTTTCCATCGCCGTGGAAGTCAACGGACTCACTTTCGAGGGCACTGGCCCTACAAAGAAAAAAGCTAAGATGAAGGCAGCCGAGATGGCCCTGAAGTCATTCATCCAGTTTCCCAATGCCTCACAAGCTCACTTGGCCATGGGAGGACTGAGCAACCCCACAGCCGACTTCACATCAGACCAGGCCGACTTCCCAGACACGCTGTTCAAAGGCTTCGAGCCTGATGGCTGCCGCTCTGCCGAGAGCGAGTTGCTGTCTAGCGCTCTCCGTTTGCGCCACACGTTGGACTTGATGGTTGTGCAGGCTAGGCAAGGAGATCCCTGCCTTCCCCTGCCTCCGGTACCCACCACCCAGCCAAGCCCGGTCGTCCTGCTCAACGACCTGCGGCCCGGCCTGCGATATGCCTGCCTGTTGGAGCGTGTCCAAGGCAAACGGGCACACCGCAGCTTCGTCATGGCTGTTCGAGTGGATGGCAGGATATTCGAGGGCTCGGGTCGCAGTAAGAAGCAGGCAAAGAGGCAGGCGGCTCTGTGTGCCCTGCAGGCGCTCTTCAACTTCAGGCTGGCACCTGAGGCGAGAGCGGGACACCGGCCCAGTAGGATCAAATGCCCTCATTTGCCCCAGGTGAGTGTGCCAGTCCAGCTGCTGGCAGGCCACCCGTTCCATACGGCGGGCCTTAATAACCAAAGCAGCAGGAATGCTGGGATACAAAACTGCCAGCCAAGGCTTAATTAAGAGGGAGGAGATAATGTTTGGGGAGGCATGGGGCAGTACAGATGGATTATGGGGGAGAGGTTAGGCTATATCGCAGAGCAAAAGGTGGAAACGTTTTATGTTAGCACACAGGCTTTAACATTTACTCTGGGCATAACAGGACGGCATATCTAGTGTAAACACACACATGTGTGTGTACTTATGAAAGCAAAAGGGCCAGAGGTAAACAGAATCTGTTCACAGATCTCTTCAGATGGAAAAAGGATGTAAATGAGGCAAATTATCATTCGGGAGCCTCTGACTCCAGAGAGGAATCCAATGCGCCAACAAATGAGTTTTCGTTTTTCTTTCTTTCTTTTTTTTTTTACTTTCCATGTGTTTATAGAGCTAAATTGCAAAAGTATTGTTATTTTGCACAATCTCTAGTTTCCTCATGTATGACATGGCAGTGTCTATAAACATTAATTCAATCTGTTGCCCAAAGGTGATTGAAAAAAGCACAGAGCAAATCGACAAACAATCCTCAGACCCATTCTTCTGTTATTTAGTCAAATATGTAAATAGTAATCACGTTTTTTTTTCTTAGAGAACTAAAATGTATTTTGATCCCTTGTGTGTCCATTTGGAGTCAAAATCAACATATAGTGCTGTCAAACAATTATGCATTTTAATTTAATTACGTGATATTGCCGTTAATTAAATTTTTTCTTCATTGCAATAAGTTTTTATGTTGCTTGGCATACATACACAGTCTGTAGTTAGGCTAATGAATTATATAACTAACTGGAAAAAATGTGTATTATTCTCATAAATTAATGAATGAAATTTGTCATACTGCTGTTGCTGCCATTTTTTCTAAAAGCAATAAGCCACTCACGACCTTGCATTACAGGGATTCTACCATGATTAATGGAGTTTCCTTAGTTTTTAAGAATCACTCAAGGATGTAGGTGGCTAATCAGTTTATTGTGTGGTGTTTGTAACGTTTTCCTCCTCAAGTATGCACATGTATATGTGTGCATGTCAGCATCAGCTCTCGTGTGTGTGTGTGTGTTTCTTGTGCTGTATTAGTATTCAGCTCCTTCCTGCAGAGAGCCGACAGGGAGAATGTTGTCTTTCCTCTCCTACTACAGCAGCCAAACAACCTGCACATGTTTGCCGGAGAGAAACTTCTCCTTTCTCCTGCTCGCTACACTCTTTAAAAGGATTTATAAGAGGATTTGCCTCACTAGTTTAGTTCCAGAAATGCACTTCCTTGTGGAAATTCTTGAAAGTCAGACTACGGCGTTGGCTGTTGAATCTCTTAGAAATGATGACAAAAACATGCACATGTAATTAGAAATGTTCCTCCTTTTCCATCACAGAATCATCCAGCATCATCTGGCCAGTGGAACAAGCATTTGTGCATGTGTGTTTGAGCTTGTATGACGATTTCTCAGTAGTCTGGAGATCTGAGGGTTGGATGGTGCTCAAATCACTGCCTGTAGGGTGCCTTCCTGTGCCGCAGGGCCCTGCTGATAGCAACCGCTGCCAGCTCTGCCGCTGTCACACTGCTCTCAAGACCCGAGATTTTTCTCTTTCTTTCTGAAGCAACTGTGACTTCCTTTAACAACATTCATTGCAGCAACTAGTAGCAGCAGCTTTTCTATGACGAAATAGCATTACTGCCTTAAATACAGTCTTGTGAAAATCTTTATCCAAATTTTCAGCACTCTGTATTTCTTTCAAGGTTTCATTTTAAAGAAAAAATAATAATAAAATAATAATAATAGTTTTTGTTATTAAAGTCAATAGTGAATCTGACAAGAACATATCACCTCAAATCAAAATAAAGAAACAATACATTACAATCATTAGAATATAATTAGAATTGCAATTGAGAATGAATGAATGAATAAACAAACATATAATAACAGTAAACAAACAAACAATATATATATTCCTGCAATACAATTTATCAAATATATCAAACAGATAAACAAAAGGATGAATAAACATAGGAATATCACTCTGGAGTATTAATTCTGATTTTTACATGTTTTGGGCATTTTTGCCCAGATCTCTGGTAAACTTCTGAGCCTGATGCAGACGCATTAAATTGAGGATTAAGAATCAGATTTGAGATTTGAAGGCTGTATTGAAACAAATAAGTTGTAAAGAAAGAAAGCGATCAACAAAGAAAGAGTGACAGAAAAAGAGGGTGAGATGTGGGTCACCTTTGGAGTGGAATAGAAGGACAGGGAGACTCTGGTGGGTGGAAGGCATTTCTGGCACTGATGGAATATTCCGTAGGAAGAACCGGCCATAGCAGCGTGATGCCCCAGGCAAATATGAACAATAACTTGCAGGCTACCCTTCTCCACCACCTCTTAAATGAAAAATTGAACCGTCATCCAGGCTGCATGCCTTGTTGCCCACATCCCTATGCCTGTTCACATCTCTAAATAATGACACACTCCCTGCAGGGATTTACCTGCATGCTCTATGAAAGTCAATATAACATTGAAGCAGTAATATGAGATCCAGGTACGAAGCAAGACTTATTAAGTTACCCCAAAAATATCCATCAATCATGGGATCATAGTCCCCCAGTGCTTTCCTAACTTCATTCCCAGCTAAAAAGACGCATAGGAAATTTACAAAACCGTGCCCTGCACGTATCTTCTCACCCGAACGCTTTGTCTGCATGTCAGCAGCTTCACGTTTTCATCACGATTCCTCTGGTTTCAGAAGTATAAATGCAGGACAAACTGATTCGGCATCAGGAGTCTGCCCACGTTATAAGGTAGAATGATTGCAGTGCATGTTTAGGTTGATTGGCCACTTAATCTCTCAGCACAGTCACAAATATCTGCAGCGTTGCCAAGTCAACGCACAGACCCTGCTAAGACAGGAAAAAGCCAGAGTCAGATGCTGGTGCCACTACAAGTCCTGACCGTGCCACTAGTATAGTTAACCTTGGACCACAGGGTATTTGACTGAAGAAATTACCTTGGCATGCTGCTAAATATCAATCACTGCCTAATCATGAGTGAGGTGAGACAGTTTGACTTCCAGTTCTGCAGCTGGTATTTAAAATGGACGGCTCACAGTGATGAATCGCACTGAGGAGCTAGGTGTTTGAGGAAGGTTCAGAAAGGGGAGGGATATATAAGACAGGGTCAAGAAAGGGAGGGGGGGTCAGATGGGGGCTGGAGTAACATAAAGGGAGGGGAGTGTTGAAGAGCGAGGTCTGGAAAGGGAGTGGAAATATTGCAGAAGAAAAGGGGAGGACAGAGTTAAAGCGTAAGGTCAGAAGGAGGGAAAGTGATAAAGGGTGTGGTCAGAAGAAGAGGAGTGATCACAGGAATGTTGAGGGACAGGGTCAGAATGTGGGGGAATGTTATAGTTATAATGTTATAATGTTATATGATCAGACTGAGATTGAGTGCTTAAGAGTGGGGTCAGAGGGAGAGGGAGTGTTAAAGGGGTCATATGATGCTGCTAAAAAGAACATTATTTTGTGTATTTGGTGTAATGAAATGTGTTTATGCGGTTTAAAGTTCAAAAAACACATTATTTTCCACATACTGTACATTATTGTTTCTCCTCTATGCCCCGCCTTTCTCAAACGCGTCGATTTTTACAAAGCTCATCGTTCTAAAAAGCGAGGTGTGCTGTGATTGGCCAGCTATTCAGTGCATTGTGATTGGACGAATTCCTCAAGCGTGTGACGGAAATGTTACGTCCCTTACCATATTGTGATGCCTGCGGCAACCACATGCGACGAGCCCGGGCTGGACTCCGCTTCGTCCACAGTGAAAGCCGATCCGGCGATCGACAAAGCGAAGTTGAAGTATTTCCTCAGGGACCAGCACGGATCAGCTCTAGGCATGATGAAGCGGATATCGTCCTCTTTTGGAAGACCAAACAAAGTAGTTTTGCTTTCACAACGAAGCACACAGCGCCTTCACGACATGGCGGCGGCAACAATACTACAGCGAGAATAAAAGTTACGCCTTCTTTCTTTGCGTGAACATTTGGGCGGCGTTATGCAAATCTTCCCAGATAGTGACGTAGGTATGTGGGGGCGTGTTAGAACAAGCCGTTTTAGGTAGGCGTAGTTGACTCTTAACTTTTATAAAGAATATCTTTTTGGATTTGAGACTTCTTTGCAAAAGTCTTTGCAACTTTACAGATCTTCTTTATGCACCAAGAGCTTGTAACACTCCAAAGAGAAAGGAAAAATTGAAATCGCATCATATGACCCCTTTAAAAGGGGGTCAGAATGAGGGGGGGTGCTCTATAATGAAGTCAGATCAGGAGGGAATTTTAAAGCGGTGGTTGATTAAGATTTCACTTTAGTTAGTGTGTAATGTTGCTGTTAGAGCATAAACAACGTCTGCAAAGTTACGACGCTCAGAGTTCAATGAAAAAGGAGATATTTTCTTTTAAAGAAATCGCTGTTTAAGGACTACAAAAAAAACGGCTGGTAGGGACTACAATGAGCTTCTTCCTGGGCTTGTGACATCACTAACCCCAATGTTTACATAAACCCCGCCCCCGGGAACATGAAACTACCCGTAATGGTAAGGGAGCGTGACGTTTCCGGACAACGTGCACTAGGAAATCACAGCGAATCACAAACACACTGAGCCTGCTAACCAATCAGAGCCCATTGCGCATTTGTAAGGGAGGGGCTTCATAGAACCAGGAACTCAACAGTCCGGTTTGACGAGAATGGATACAGCGGTGTAGAATAAAGGTAAAATATGTGAAAATAGTGCGTTTCTTTAAAAACTAAGCATGAACACGTTACACTGCATCCCATAAACACAATCAAGCTTTTGAAAAAAGCTAATCAACCACCCCTTTAAAGCGTGAGGTCAGAATGAGGGAGAATGTCAAAGAGTGGGATCAGAATGAGGGGA